ATTTATAATGTGCTTAGTAGTGTGCTTACAAATAATGCTGTCCGCGATTTTTCGTAAAAGGGGCATTCAATCATGAAATGGTACTCATCTTCTACTTTGTTATTTGAACACAGTTCGCAGATTCTTTTTCCTATTTCGGTTTTTGGTTTGGTGTACCTCCCTGTTTCAATTTTTAGTTTATGATTTCTCAGACGGAACCTAATAATTTTCTAAAGTAAATTCATTTTTGAAATTTGTGTACGTTCTGAGTTTATTTCTTCTGTTATTGTTATTTTGGTTAACATCAGTCCCTATATTTTTTCAACTTCCAAACCGAATTTCCTGGTTTCTCTGTCGTTCAGTATAGTTGTTGTTTCGATAATTTGTGGTGTAGTTATGGCACTGTACCATTTGCTGTTTAATTGTTGTTTATAATTGCTGCCTCACTTACCAATTCATTTGATGTATTCATCACTCTGTTGAAGTATTTAATTAATTGTTTTTTGATGAATACGTCGAGTGGTATTTTCCCAGTTCCCCATAAATACCCAAAATTGATGTGTTCTTGCTGACTCCTAAAACAAAACGACAAAAGTTTAGGTGAATTTTTTCCACACTCGATTTGTATGTGCTTTCGTGACCCCAGATGTCACTTCCGTAAACTAGTATGGGCCTAATTAGTTTATCGAAAAAGGGTAGCATTGTAAGTGGATTTAAATTTGCCTTATGTCCAAGTTTTGCTTTTAAACTAAATAAAGCTTTTTGGCCTTTTAGTTTTAATGTTTTCATTGCCTCCTTAAATTTTCCGTTCGAACATTATATTACAACCCCTAATAGTTGTAGTGTCTAACCACATTAGTTTCTTTACTTTCAGAAGATATTGTTGTTATCTAATAGACGATTATTTTTATTGAAAACCATTATTTTTGTTTTCTCTGTATTAACAGTCAGCTTCCAGTGTTTTGTGTAAGTGGAGAGATTATCTCAGCTATTTTGTAATCCATGTTTTGTTTCTGAAAGGATGACAATGTCGTCTGCAAAGAGGAGGCACCCAACTTTACTGTTTCCCAGTGTGGGTGGATTACATGTTGCAGTATCAAACATTCCTGGTAGGTCATTAATAAACAAATTGAAAAGAGTTGGACTTAAGTTACACCACAGTATTTGATGTGAATTCAGTTGTTAATCCATCATTAACCTTGACTTTATAGTTTACTTTACTGTACATTTCTTTTATAATGTTATAAATATTGCCTGTTATGCCGGATTTTAACAATTTTAAAAACATTAAAGCGAGTGTGCCATAATATGTTAATTGTTAAACCACCTATGTTTTTAGCGAAATATTGTTGTTTATGTCGCGCGATTTATGAAGCCCCAATAGGACTATTTGTATTTTAAAATAAAGATTGAAATTGGTGACTTTTTAGATCTACATCAACGTTCCTTTACGATTTTGTTGTATTGTAATGTGTTGGCAGTAACTTAAAAAGTACATTGCCTAAACACATGTTTTCTGAGATAATGTGTGCCGGGATCCTGTCCTGCCGGGATCCAGTAAATCTCAAATTGGTTAACCTCAAAACATATTTCGTGCACGTAGGATTAGCGAATTAGCGAATTCGAACATTTACACACCCAAATGTAAACAACGGATTTACTGCAAAACACGTCACGGTTGCCAATCCCGCAAGCGGTTACGACGGAAATTCGAATTTTCATGCAGTGTGAGATAACCTATAGCTTATATTTATGTAGGAAGTCATGGTGTGTCAGCATGGCGGAAGTCAGTGATACCCACAACATCTATTCAACACGAAAATCTACCTACAGAGAGTAATTTTATGGTTGTAAAACAAAGATAGAAATAATACTTCACACAACTAATATCACAAATAGCACATTAAGTACATAAATTATAGAACGAGGAAAAAACATAAGCCAATGTTATTGTTTAGAACAAAGCAAAACTGAAGTACAGTTCAATCCACCAAAATCACGAATAAAACATTGAACTGAAGTAACTGAGTATGGGCAGAAAACTATTCATGAAAATTATTATAACAATAAAACTACTAAGCTACTAAATATGCCATTGCATTAAAACTACCTGCAGACTAATTTGATGGAGTTGCTATGTTTCATCTCTTAAGTTCATACTTGTATGTATGAATTGTGCAGTTTTTATTCCTGCAAAGCTTGTCATAATTAATCGGAATTTTTCGTCTTCATTCATTTTGAAGAAGTCAGATTTTTTGTCCTGTATATATGTAAATAATTTATTACGGGTATGTCATATTTACTGCATCCTTCTTTATAAGAAATGATACTCGTCTTCAATTTTAACATCTGTGCGGAGTTTACATAATATTTCGTTTCTAGGAATTTTCTTTTGTCTGCCAGTCTCAATGAGTAGTTTATGATCAGAAATTCTAAATTTGCAAAATAATCGCCTTAATTTTTTTTATATCATTTAAATAATTCTCCATATTAAAAGTAGTTTTAAATTTTCTGTATGAAGTTAGTTTGTTTGTTGCTACATTCATTCTGCTGTCATTAAATAATTCCCTTCTCCATGTTTTTACATAATTTTCTCTGAGTACCTCCCCTATCTTTTTTTCATCTTGTTTTGATAATTCTGAAAGATTGTTGTTTTAAGTTATCTCTTCTATTCTTTCCACCCATCCTGTTTTCCAAGTTTTTATTTCCATAAAGGCAGTTGCTACAATGTTGGGAATTTCGGGGATTTTAGTCTCAACCAATGTTTTAACATATGTGTTTCAATTTTGACGTTCATTGGATATCTACCCAGCTCTCCAAGAATAGCATTTTTTGTTGAATTTTTGCTGACACCTAAGAAAAATCTACAGAATGCAAACTGTACACTTTCTATAATGTTACTATGTTTTGCTGATTCTTCTCCCCATACTTTACACCCATAATTAATAATTGGTACAATTAATTTATCAAATAAATTCAATGCTGTGCTAATTTAATAATGTGTGATAATGTTAATAAAGACTGCTTTAGTGGAAACATAGCTTTCATAGCTTTCTCTTTTAAAGTATTGGACGCAGTTTTGAATTTTCCATTCGGTGTGAAAATTATACTCAGGCTCAGGTAATTAAAACTATCTACTGTGGCAATTTCATTTCCCTCTTAAAACACTGACTTCCTATTTAATGTATGATTTCTTTTATTGAATACCATTAAGTGGGTCCTATCGTCATCGCTTTCCAGGAAACTTCCCTATATTTGCCACCGAATCGCCTTTGATCTCAGAAACAGGATGTTTTTTTATCTTCGCCATAGTGATTATCGCCCTCATCGATGGAAGTATTTTTTTTGTACCGTTTTTATCTATTTGCGGTGAAATAGAAAACCGACAAGTCTGTATATACATATGTCGCAAAACATACCTGAAATAAATATAGTCCCGGTATCAACACAAGCATTCATAGAAAGCGTTTGAGATGATATCTCAGCGAGTGACGAAATTCCCAGAATGAAAAAAATTAACAAATGTTTTTATGTGTTTTCACAGGCAAGCCGGTGGGTGGACTAGAGATGAGAGAACTGCGGCAGTAATAAGATAAAGTATACCAAGCGTTTTTTTACCGGATCGTTCTCTGTTCTATATATCATATGTAGTGAGGGTAGACCAAGTTTCTGTGTGCAAAGGCCAGACCATTTTTTTCTGAAAACGCAGAGTTTAGTCCTGACAAGACAAAATATTTTGATTGAGATATATTTATCCTACTCTAAATGCATTTGTATTCCATTCGATGGTCAGTCCTGACAGTTTCAGTTGTAACTATACACAAGTCCATTTCATGTTATGGATTTAGAGAAAACATATAGAAGCAGTATTTCTTATTGCATTTTCAGGCCCAGTTTAACAAGATGTAAATAAAAAAAACAGTTAATCCATCCATGAATTTACTGACAACGATGGCGAGAAAAAAACAACTTGAAGCGTAATATATATGTACGACCCGGCAAAAAAGTAAAATAAAATCTAGACAACCCTAACACAGAAATGAATCAAATATACCAGATTCCGTGTTCGATCGAGGATCGGTATGTGTGCGCATCGGTTACTATGTGGCCACACATTCATTACCAGAAACTCATGATGGAACTTTACCCTCGGCTTGGGAAGCACGTGACGCCGGTGGTACAGATGAGCTTTGTTACGATATCGAGACAGAATACTATTTCAACTACTGATGTTTCATTAGTGAGCAACTTTGTTTCCAGGGGACTGGAAGGTTGCATGACTATGAGTGGTAGTCCGTATAACATGCCAAGGTAGGTTAAAATAAGGTTTACTGGTGACGGGGATGACCATGCCCTGGCAAATAACCACGCCCTCTACCGTCGTACGCAGTCATCAGACGGTGAATATTCAACAATATCGACAAATATAACATGTTGAACGCCGTTGAAACGACGGGGAGGTCAATACACTCACCTAGGTTTTGACCTAATGAAATTCAATGAAGATCTAGAAAAACTGCCATGGAATATCCTAGACATGTTCAGTGAAGTCAATAAAGCCCTGGATACTTTTACCATCTTAGTTGAAGAGGTTTTGGATGAACATGCTCCATGGCGAAGGAAACGTTTCAAACGAAATAAACAGCCAGATCGGATATCAAATGACATTTTAAAAGCTATGCATACCAGAGACAATTACACTAAGGTACATAATCACACAAACTATAAGATCTGACATAATATGGTGGTTAATATGATAAAAACTGCAAAGCGTGAATACTACATTAATCTATTTGATCAAAACAAATCGAATAATAGGCAAACTTGGAAACACTTTAGAGAACTTGACCCAAGCCCACTATTCCCCCTCCACTCAAACTTAAAGATGGGGAGGCAGTCTTAACGAATCCCAATGAGATTACCATGTTTTTCAACAACTACTTTAGCAACATTGTATCTGAATATCTCGCGGAAGTCAACCCATCTCAACCTGATTTCAAAAAGTTGACAAATTTTGTTACATCTAAAGTTCCCAATTCTGCTACTTTTACCATTCTCCAAATCACGCAAGAATTCGTTCTGAAAGCTTTACAGGACCTAGATCCTTGAAAATCTATAGGACCAGATGGGTTGTCTTCCAAGATATTCAGGATTGCTGCACCCATAATTGCTGATGGTGCAACCAAGATTATTAATCTAAGTATTACTACTAAGCGATTTCCAAACCCAATGGGAAAAAAGGTAGAATCAGCCCTATTTTCAAGAGTGACCCCTCTAATGTAACGTCTAATTACAGACTTATCAGCAATTTATGTATACTTTCTAAAATAGTGGAGAAACATGTACACAACCAATTGTATAATTTCTTAACTAACTATAACCTGTTACATTTGGCTCAATCAGGTTTCAGGAAGTTTCACTCCTGCGAGACCGCCCTTGCTAAGATGGCATCCTAATGGGCTACCAATATAGACAAGGGTGACTTGACAGGATTGGTCCTTCTTGACTTACGCAAGGCCTTCGACATGATCAATCATGATCTTTTATTACACAAATTATTTTTGTATACAGTAAGTGACCAATCACTACAGTGGTTCAAATCATATTTAACGGACAGGTCACAATTTGTTAAATTTAAAAGAGCCACATCTGAGTCACTTCCAACACTAGGTCCAATGCTGTTTATAATATACATGAATGATCTTGCCTTGGAAACGGAACAGTCAGTACTCGACATGTATGCCGATGATAGTACTTTCACTACTTCTGGAGAAATCGTAGAACTTATGCAGCAGAAACTGGGCTCGGACATGTCTAATGTAGAAGCATGGTGTAAAACTAATAAGATGATCATAAATAGTGAGAAAAGTAAAACAATGTTAGTTACAACTTCTCAAAAATATCATAAGTTACCTGTTAAGGAACTTAACATTTCAGTAAATGATTCAAAATTAGAGCAAGTCAGAAAAACTACTTTGTGTCATGGTAGATCAAAATCTAACATGGAAAGATCATATTAATAAAGTTCATAGAGTAGTGAGTATGCTTCTAGCTCGATTCAGGGGTATAAAACTGTATCTTTCCACAGCTATCCGTATCAAATTTTGTCATGCTTTCATCTTTCCCCATTTGGACTACTGTAGCACAGTTAGGGGATCAGACTAGTTAAACAGACTATATACACTACAGAAAAGATCGGCTAGGATGATTTTTAATCTCCCTTCGCGAACTCCTACTAAACCTCTATTTCAAAAATTGAGATGGATGACTGTGATGGATAGTGTTGATTACCGGCGCTCTGTCATAAATCATTAAATAATCTTGCTTCAACTTATATGAGACAAATGTTTAAATTGACCAGAGAAGTCAGCACTAGGACTACCAGAAATTCAGACAGTTTCAAATTATACTTGACTCCTGGTAAAATTATTAAAGTATATTCAGATAGCTTCCAATTCTCGGCTCCTGAATTTTGGAATAAAATACCTCTATCAATTCGTACCATTAAAAGTAACTATTTTAAATGGTCCATGTCAAAGACTTAGTTGTTATGTTATATTTCTGTACTCCTTTATTTAAAAATGTATTACTAATTTCTGTATTTTGTACTAATTTTTGAGGACCATGTGTGAGGTGAGATAAGCCTTTGGCTTAACATGTTTTTATTCTCTTTGAATAAAGTCTATTATTATTATTATTATTAATTATTATTATAGGTTCTGACGAGGAGGAAAAGCTTGAGGCTTACGACAAATTTAAAATCAGATCCTCATCGACAGCAACTATGATAAATTTTGTAGCATCAGATCATCAGATGTCCATTCGACAACGTGCTGTTTGAGTGTGTAATATTGTTGTTTAGATTGATATCCATATGATATGAAGCGGTAAAATAAGCCATATTTAGCGAGAGCTGAGCGCAGTTTGAGGTCCGACACAATAGAGACTTCCTCAGGTCGTGTGGGAGCATACTCACTGTGGTGTGTGTGTGTTTTTTTTTGGGGGGGGGGGTAGTAACTTGTGCGAGTATGTTTAGACTTTATCCAAATACTCATGAGTTCTTACTTCACCAGAACCGGCTGGCGGCATATCACTCAAACAAAAGCATGAAATGGGATACAGCGCCCTCGCCGACGAATTTACTGTCACGTGGACTGTTTAGAACAAAATATACTTTCCTAGCAAATGCTGAAAGAGAATTTCAAAACATTGCAAGTTATGTAGAGAACTAATTATTGAATGTTAGTTACCTAGACATTTGCCAAAGATGGTGATTATAAACATAATAATAATAGTGAATTTCATATTAAAGCGGGAGGGTCGTCACCTGCGCACGCACGGGAATTGAGTTCCAAGCGACGACAACAACACACGCTATGGCCATCTGACGCATGCGCAGGCGACGACTCCCCCGATTTACAATCGTTTTCACTAAACATTGGACAATCAGATTGTGGTAAATGTTGATACATCAGAGCAAGTACCTAATGAAATTGTCACTGAATTTATCCCTACTAATCAAAACATCATAACTGTAGCCTAAACATGTTTGATACAATGTATAACTGTCTGTACTCAACTCATTTACATAAAATGTTACGTTTGTGTGTGTCCCAGTAGTGTGTCCAGACACCCAGAGCATATAACGCGGGAAAGTCGGGAGTACATGTAATTTGTTGACAAAATGCAGTCTCATAATTCGACACACAATTTAGTGTACGACAGAAAATTGTTGAACTTTACTTAAATTGGCTGTCGTGTAGTCAA